GAAGTGACCATTCTTGGATCTGTGAGTTGATATCTCTCACTAACTTTGGAAAATTCCTGACCATTATTCTCTTTATATATGCCTTTTGTCCCATTTTCTTTGTCTTCTCCTTCTGGAACTGCACACACTATTCTATTTTCTTCCATAGATATCAGACATTCTGATCCATTTTTTCACTCTTTTTATCTTTGTGTTTCAGTTAGAATAATTTCTATTGATCTTTCTTTCAGTTGAATTTTTTCTTCTGTTTTATCCAGTGTTTTTAAATCACATTAAATTTTTTTCTTTTTAACATTTTTTAAATGTTTTATTTAGTTTTGAGACAGAGAGAGAGAGAGCGTGAGTGAGGGAGGGGCAGAGAGATGGAGACACAGAATCTGAAGCAAGCTCCAGTCCTGAGCTGTCAGCACAGAGCCTGACATGGGGCTTGAATTCAATAACTGCTAGATCATGACCTGAGCCAAAGTTGGATGCTTAACCAACTGAGCCACCCAGGTACCCCTAAAATTTTTTTTTCTGATTGTAATTCTCATTGTATTTGCATTTTTCCCCAATAATCTTGATCTCTCTGCTTAAATTCCCCATATGTTCCTATATGTTTTCCACTGAATCCTTTAACATATTTATCACATTGAGTTTTCAGGACCTGTCTGATAATTCGAACATCAGGATCATCTCTGGGTCTGATTCTAGTGATCATTTCTTCTTCTGACCAAAAGCCAAATTTTTTTGATTATCCACACCTTTCATAATTTTTGATTGTGTGTCAAAGAGTATATATAAAAGAACTATTGAGAATGAGTTAAATATTTACCCCCAGAAAATGATGCATGCTTTATTCTATCAGGCTGCTATGCTGGGTGCCTAATTCGGTCTAAATTACAGTTGAACCCGGTCAGGATTTGTTACAGGTTAAGTTAGATTCAATCAGCATTGGCTTCAAATATTTTGAGGGCATGATCAAGACTTTTTTTCTAAAGGAAGGAGGTCTGTATAGAGAGCTCTTTGTACTTTATGATCAGTCACCAGCTTTCCAAGCCTTGGAAGGTCTCTGTGTTTTATTACCTGGCTGTTACCATTTTGTCTGCTGGGGAGTGGTGTTTGTTTTCCAGTCATGTTCTTAGCTTTGGATCATGTCTTTGTGAGATCTCTCCTTAACCTGCTGTCCTATCTTGGATGTGGAGGATTCTAATGGTATATCATAGGGGGAATCTTTCTCTTCTATTCCCTTAGCCTTGAGCAGCCAATGCCTTGGATTAGGTAAAGAGTCAGATTGCTATGTAGGGCTCTTTCCCATCTTTCTCATCCTGATCCTAGCCATTAACCACTTTTTTGTATTTGGGGAAGATCCGTGAATTTTGAGATAGTTGGGGATGGAGCACTCTCCTCTGACCACAGATTTTGAAACTTGTAACCCTTGTACTAAGTGAAGGATCGTGGGTTAAATCTGGCAAGTAATTGTAGACTCACTCCATGGCTGGGGCCCCCGGATTATACACTGTCACACTAGTTCACACGTGGGCATTAAGATATGGTTAAAAGATCACCTAGGTTCTCTTAGTCCCTCTTTATGCAGTCTTCTTTCTACAGCCAATCCATACAAGATAATAGCAACTGTGAACTTTTATTTCTAAGAATGTCTTATTACTTCCTGGATTTTAGTTCTTTTAGATGTCTTTTAGGTCTTCAATTCTCTGACAGGTCTTTTGTTTTTTTTTTTTTTTGTTTTAACTATGAATTTGTAACATATCTGGCTCATTCTTGTTAGGATGGACATAAATGGTCTTTTATAAATTCTAAGGAGAAATTAATTATGATCCTTTCCTCAAACACACACACCCCCATTTGCAGTAGTTACTTGGTTTTCTCTGTTAAACCCCATAAATCCTATGAGGCAAGGCTTCTAGCAATACAGCTGTTGCCTGGCTTCTGTAACTGTTCCTAAATTGCCCTTAAGATTTTAGGAAAATCATAACTACCTGTTCTTGCTAGATCTGAGCTGCTCCACTATTTCTTGGCTTCCTTTGACTTTGTCCACACTTTATTTTTTATTTTTATTTTTTATTTTTTATTTTTTATTTCTACGAGAGAGAGAGAGACAGCATGAGCAGGGGAGGGTCAGAGAGAGAGGGAGTCACAGACTGAAACAGGCTCCAGGCTCCGAGCTGGCAGTCAGCACAGAGCCCGACGCGGGGCTCGAACCCACGAACCGCGAGATCGTGACCTAAGCGAAAGTCGGACGCTTAACCGACTAAGCCACCCAGGCGCCCCTGTCCACACTTTAAAAAATAGACTCTTTATTAAACTCTTTTCAATTATTCTATTTAAATGAACCATATCCTTCCTGCTGAACCCCTAACCAATAGGTGGCATTTCTTTGAGATAAAGAAAGAGATTCAGCCCACAAGGAAATAGTAGAAGATACTATGACGAAGAAGACAAGGAAAGTGTTGCCATGATTGGGAGAGCAATGAGGTGGTAGCAATACTGGTGGCCTCCAGGAATGAGAAGAGGAAGAACAGATCTCCCTGCTAGGACCTCTGTAGAAGCCTCTGGCTTTTAAAATGGAAAGCTGAGCAGCACTGTATTGTTTGGGTTGGACAGTCATTTTCCAGAGTGATTTTTTGAATACTTCTGGGTATACAGAAAAGATTAATGTGGAATACAAAAGCTGAAGAATCAATGGAGCCTTCTTGGTGTGGTGGGATTTGGGGAGGTAAGGAGAGGTTAGAAGGCACAGCAGAAATTTCTGAGAACAGGGGCGCCTGGGTGGCTTAGTCAGTTAAACGTCCGACTTTCGCTTAGCTCATGATCTCGTGGTTCGTGGGTTCGAGCCCCGCGTCGGGCTCTGTGCTGACTGCCAGCTCAGAGCCTGGAGCCTATTTCGGAGTCTGTGTCTCCCTCTCTCTCTGACCGTCCCCTGCTCACGCTGTCTCTCTCTCTCTCTCTCCTAGAAATAAATAAAAATATTAAAAAAAAAATGCGATCTAACTAAATGTGGATAATAGAACTAAAATTTTTACTTAATAGTATTTTATACACAGAAAGATCCTACTCCTATGCCATTATACAGATTTTTAAAAAAATATTTTTATTTATTTCTAGGGGAGAGAGAGAGAGAGAGACAGCGTGAGCANTTAAAGGATTGACTAGTATCAAATATGGCTACAATTCCATCTCTTTCAAATGTTTCCCAACATAGCAAAATAAATATTGCATATATGGGGCGCCTGGGTGGCTTAGTCGGTTAAGCGTCCGACTTCGCTTAGGTCATGATCTCGCGGTCCATGGGTTTGAGCCCCGCATCGGGCTCTGTGCTGACTGCCAGCTCAGAGCCTGGAGCCTATTTCAGAGTCTGTATCTCCCTCTCTCTCTGACCTTCCCCTGCTCACGCTGTCTCTCTCTCTCCTAGAAATAAATAAAAATATTTTTTAAAAAATTAAAAAAAAAAAAGAAAATTCCTAGAACACTATTTCAACCAGCTGCAATGTTCTACTTAACAGATATTTGAGGGGCACCTGGGTGGCTGAGTAGTTTAAGCATGGGACTCTTGATTTTGGCTCAGGTCATGATCCCACCCTTCGGCTTATGAGTGCTGACAGCATGGGGCCTGCTTTTGATTCTCTCTCTCTGTTCTCCTCTAATAAATAAATAAACATTAAAAAATCCATATATTTAGCATTTGCTATCACATAATTTACTCAACATGAACCTTTAGGTTTCATTTAATACCTGAACATTTCTTTATAAAAACCTTTTTTGGTAGAAAGTACTATGAAACAACCAAGCCTTTATAGGCTTAGTTTAGGTGCCTGGAACACGGTAGGTATTAAAAAAAAACTATTAGAACTAGGGCACCTGAGTGGCTCAGTCAGTTAAGCATCCGACTTCAAATCAGGTTATGATCTCACGATTTGTGGGTTTGAGCTCCACATCAGGCTCTGTGCTGGCGGCTCCAGGTCTGTGGTGACAGCTCCAAGCCTGGAGGTTGCTTTGGATTCTGTGTCTCCCGCTTTCTCTGCCCCTCCTCTGCTTATATTTTTCTCTCTCAAAAATAAATATTTAAAAAATTAAAAAAAAACCTTATTAGCTCAATAATACCAGCTGACACTTATCGAGCACTTACTGTGTGCCAGGCACTGTGCAAAAAGTGCTTAACATAATATCCTGTTTTATAGGTGAGAAATCGGAGGCTACAATATGTATTTCCACCCTAGACCCTCCATAAAGTGATAATGGACTGACTTGAGTTGAAGGCTGTATCATTTAAATATTTTTCACAATTCTTAATTGTGAAAAAACAAAAGGTTATTGATATTTGGGATTGAAAGACAAAAAAAATCTCTCCTGATTTTCTCTCACATGCACGTATTCATCGTTTATTAGAATTTTGCAAATTCCTGTTGGATAAATTTTACTTGACAGGAGTCTCATCACACATAACACATAAATGTTTTATGGGCCACGTACTTTACCTATTTTCCAAGAGAAGCCGAGATTTCATGCTCTCCTTTCATTGTTACATTTTCCCCCCTTCCTTTTATTTCCTCTCACTTCATTCTCTCTTTTAAATCATTCACATTCATTAATTTATTTCTCCATTTATTCCTGCCTGCCTGCCTTCAAATAAGGCCAGGTGCTTAATTTTAAAATCTCATTCAAAATGGTGCCACGTCATCCACCAGGGCCAAGAACCGAGAGGTGCTGTCATATTTCTCCCTGCCAGCGTGGATCTCCGTCGAGCCCTGCCCTTTCCTCCTCACCTGCTCCCCAGGAAACGCCAGCGAGGCCGCTGTCACACAGTCTGGCCTCCAGCTAGGTCCCTTACGGCCTCCGCCCCCTCCCCCGCGTCCCCGGGCCGCCTAGCCTCTCCCCGCGGCCGGCAGGCGGAGCGCATTTATTTGCATATTTCTACCTTTGTTCCTTGCCTGCGGCCAATCAGCGCGCGGGGCTCGGCGGGGGGGCTGGGCGGGGCTCGGGCTCCGGCTCCAGCTGCGGCGGCCGCAGGTTCCAGAGCGGGTTCGAGCCGCGGCGGGCGCGCAGCGCACTGCAGCCGCAGCGCAGGGCCCCCCACCCCGGCCTCGGCCAGGCCTCAAAGGCAAGGACAAAGAGGCTGTCCCCGAGGCTCCACCCGAGCCAGCTTTACCTGCGGTTTCGGCAACCACAGGCTCCAACATGGTGTGCGGGGGCTTCGCGTGTTCCAAGAACTGCCTGTGCGCTCTCAACCTGCTGTACACAGTGAGTATCCTGAACCCGTTGCTCCCCGCCTGCGGGCTTCGCACCTGCTCGGTTGCCCCCCGGTTCCCCTACCTGACCAGCGACACTGACTTCAATCCGCACCCCTTCCCGTCTTCCCACGCTCTGCGCGCCCCTGGCCTCGCCATCAGTCCCCGACGGAGACCAGGAGCCGGCTCTTGTCGCAGTCTCTTCCTTTCCTTCATTGTGAAGCCGCCGTCTTTCTGGCTCACTGGCCGCGTCTCTGCCACATTGCTCTACCCCGCCCCCTCACCCACCGCCTTGTTTTTCAGTCGTTTGACCAGACCTTCCTACTTTCTCATCCCTATCCCTTCTGATACTGGCTCCTTGCATCCAAACCCATCTGGGGCGGGTTTGGAGGCGGGAGGGCCGCCTCAGGTTTGAGGACAGTTTTGCAAAAATAGCGTGATCTGAAACTGACAAGGCGGCATATGGATGGTGTGCATCTTGGTTAGCTCTACGTGCTCTCGTGATTTGAATTGAGGTCACCGAGTAGGTTCACAGGATATCCGCAGCTTCCGAAGTTTGTTTCGTGCTTACATAAAGGGATGCTTTTTTTTTTTTTTTGTCAGTTTGTTCATATTGGATGCTTTTTCCATGTGGTCTTCTGATTTATTAATATTCTAACTCCATTTTAAGAGAAATCCTCCAGTAAATAAGCAAGCCTCCACCCAAGTCGTTCCTTTCTCTGCTAATAAGCTTGGGCCTTTTAGTTTTAACGGTGCAGTGTACCTCTGATTTTTGAGGCGCAATTCTGGGTGAACAGGAGAATGGGAGAGCAAGTTGCCGCTTACTGACTGCTTACCACAGCCCATGTTTTGCATTCATGATTTCGTTCTTCATTCTACAGCCATCTGAGGCAAAGAGCATTGTCTAAATCTAAACATTTATGGTAACAGACCAACAAGGGTTTTAATAAGTTTATATGGTTGGTAGTTGGCGAGTCAGGAATAGGACTTAGGTTGTGAGATCCAGATCTTTCCACAGGCTTCTCTCCCAGGTGGAAGAAACTTCCTCTTCTGTCATCATCCCTCCATCATAGTCTATCTCCCTTCTATAAATACACCTGGTGGTTTGCAGCACCCACCCTGAAAACAAACCCAGTTCCCCTGCTTTCGCAGAGAGCTAGGCCATCTGTGCAAGCTTGGGTTACATCCTTGGAACGGAGAGGCTGCCTTGTGGTCACCAACAGGAGAGAGAGGCTGGATCGTTTTACCATTAATGTTCCTTTGTATGTGAACATGCTTGCAAAGCTCTGAAGGCAAGACAGTGGAATAAAGTATGCTTTTCTGGTTAGTTAGTAGGAATCTAATCAACATGGTCACAGTAGACTCAGAAGAAAAATTGTAAAACACCTGGTGATTCAGCTCCTTGTAATTGGAGGACCATGTCAAGTTTCAGATCAGAATTCACCTTTGTCTTGCTTGAAGCATGCTTATCTTATTGACCGTGTATTAAGTAAGTGCTGACCAATTCTCCAGGTATTTTCTTTTATTAGCATGAATGGCCTGCTTAGAACTTCAAATTCACCGTTTTGGGCCCTGACTTTTGCCCCCTCCCCATGATTTAGTCACCTGTTCACCAGACACTTAGCCTTATAATATTTGCTTACACACAGTAGAAAGTCTGTGTGGGGTCTGTATGAATTAATGTGCAATATACATATATATATAGTATAATATATATTAAAAGGCAAGTTATTTTTAAGTCTGCTTGTTTTCAAGATGCGTCATTTCTAGTTGTATTAGTGTGTATCAGGAAACCAAGGAGAAAGGTGATTCTCAAGGAACATTTTAAGATTTTTATATCTGTTCCAACTTATTGACCTTCAAGATGTATTCTAGTGATTTCAGTAGTTATATAGTAAACCTTAATTAGAAATCACAAGGCTATATAATGGTTAGCGCCCTGTTAAATACTAGACTTTTTAGCTAAAAAGGATACTTAAAGATGAATTAATGTGTACTCCTTATACACCGTGATTAAGCTTAAGTAAGTTCAGCAGTTTAAATTGGAGGTGAGTGAAAGATACAAGCTGGACCAGGTCTTAAATAGATGCTATTATTTAGATTCCATATCTTCCTTGGTGTCTCCCTCAACATTTTAAGATCAGAAATATGAAGTAGTTGGCAGGATTGAGGGTGAAGACTTAGGAGACATTTCCTTCTAAGGTGAAATAGGTGGACCTTTCATAGGTTCCAACCCCATCAGGGTAACCACCTCTAAAATAGGTGCAAAGTTGCAGAAGGTCTGAGGTCATTTCTAAAAGTGTTATTAAGGTCAGGATTGCATATAGGAGTGGCAGGCATAAAGGCCATGGCCTGCTTTTGTGTTGAAGCATTTTCTTGAGGAACTTAGGACTCTATAAGCCTAACTGTCCACATGCTCAAGTGGCCTGCTGATGAGTCTAAGTTGAGAGCAGAATTCATGATCAGACCAGAAAGCCTGCCATTAAAATAGCTTGGAAGGAACTTCCCCTGAACCTGTCTTAGACTTCTGGTCACTAGCCAACGGTACAACAGTTGATTCTTGTTACTAATGGTTGGGTCATTTTAAATCAATAGGATCCCTAGCATTGAATAACTTTGAGTTAGCGTAGTGAATATAAACTATTTATAGATATGGTAGGAAGAGGAAAAGCTGAGTTCTCTTCCTTGCGTTTTCATGGTGTTATAAGAAAAAGAAAGGCTTGGTTCAGAACTTTGTACATTTAAAGAAACTGAACAGTTCTTTACTCAGTAAATATTTATTTATTTATAACAGGCACTGTTCTCAGTCTGGTAAGACAGCAGTGAACCAAACTGGGCTTTAACATCCATGTGCTTTATGAAGCCTCTTTTTTAAAAATTTACTTTTCTCCATAAGACCTCAGGAGGTTTATTCAGTCAGTATATTTGCTCTATGTGTATATCCTGCTGAGAACAGTGAGAGGTAATAAACACATACAAAGGCAAATACCAATTCTGTGAAAACAGGATCTCGTTGGGATTCATGAAGTGGGAAAATTAAATGTGATATAAGGGAGGGACTGATGTTAGCTTAGGACTAGGGGACATCTTTATGGATTAGAGAAGTGGGGGAGGGAAGAAGGTGTAATGGCGTCAGGGGAAACATAGAGTGTGAATCTTTTTCATACTGCTTAGGATATAAAAGCAAATGAGAACTACTTTGGGAAAATGGTCTATTCTATTTTTCAGTTTATTAGAAAATAATTTTGATTGGAATTGTTGTGACAAATCATGAAAACCAAACTTTAAAATTATAAGGGGCATCTGGGTGACTCGGTTGGTTGAGTGTCCAAGCAGCTCAAGTCATGATCTTGGGGTTCTTGAGTTTGAACCCCACATGGGGCTGGGCTTGCTGCTGTCAGTGCAGAGCCCACTTCTGATCCTCTTTTCCCCTCTCTACCCCTCTCCCACTTGCTCTCTTTAAAATAAAAAATTAAAAAATATATAAAATTGTACTTCTGATTTATGGGGAATTTTAGGAATATGAAATAAATATTATATGAAAATATGTTACCATATAGAAGATTTATAATTTATCTCTTTGTGCTTCCTAAACAGAGAAGAAGAAACTTGAAGAGTTTAGTTGTACTGCTGATTTTTAATATATATAATATATATAATATACACATTCATATATAGGAATATATATATTCCTTGAGAAGGAATTGAGAAGGTAAAGAACATAAATAACTTTAAACTGAAAGTGTCATTTCAGAGGTTTGTTTCTTTTGCCATATTCAGTCTTTAAATTCTTTCCAAGTTTGTTTTATTGATTTCTTTTACTTTTTACAATTATTTTTTCCTACTCTTTTGGTTACTTTGGGAAAAGTCTCCATATAGCATCAAAAATTGTACTGATTTACATCCTTTCTATGACCCTGAATTACAACGTTTTACATCTTATTCTCTCTGAAATCGGATTGTCTTAAAATAGAATATACTGTATTTATAGATAAAAATATATATGTGTCTGTACAGTCCATAGGGGGAAAAAGAATTGGATTCAGGAAGAAAACAGAAGCCTGAATACCAACCCTACAGCTCCCTTGGAATTTATCCTTGGGCAAACAGCTTACTTTATTTGAGCTTCAGTTTTTCCATTTATAAACTGGTGATGATATTTTTCATTCTTCCCAATGAGTTTTAAGGATAAAATGGAAAAACATAGACAAATGCTTTGGATGTACTACAGGAAGCAAAAAAATTAAGTTGTTACAGCTTCAAAGGGAGAAAGTTTATTTGAAATTTCTGAATTACAAACCTGCGTGTGATGATGAAAATATTTTTAAGCTGTTGGGATTTCTAACCCTTAAGGCTAGTTAGCGTTGACTCAAGCACGACCCGTGGAGGCGGGAGTTCATGGCCTGAAAATAGTAATGTTAATCTTTCAGTTGTAGGGAAAAAATGATGGAAGTGCAGTAAGTATAAATATGGAATGATTAACCTGTGTATTTTTTTTAGTCATTCTGGTCATTAGGGTGCTGGAAAACTATAATTTTGTTCAGTCTTCACTCTAAAATAAATGAAAAACACTAGTACTTCAGCCAAAGGAAAATCTGTGTATTGCTATTAGTTTCAAATGATGCCATTGGTCATTTTTCAAAATTCTGAGCATCATTTTTCAAATGATTCTTGTTTCAGATTTTAATATGTGGTTAGGTTTATGTGATTTCTTTCTGTGTTCTTGTTCAAGCTACTGAATGAATTTAAAATAGTTAAGTGGAGGGGGCGCCTGGGTGGCTTAGTCGGTTAAGCGTCCGACTTTCGCTTAGGTCATGATCTCGCGGTTCGTGGGTTTGAGCCCCGCGTCGGGCTCTGTGCTGACTGCCAGCTCAGAGCCTGGAGCCTGTTTCAGGATCTGTATCTCCCTCTCTCTCTGACCCTCCCCTGCTCACGCTGTCTCTCTCTCTCTCTCCTAGAAATAAAAATATTTAAAAAAAAAATAATAAAATAGTTAAGTGGTTGCTGGATATT